AAAAATTCCCCCTCTGGAAGTAGAATTGTATGCTAGGGAAGCATACTGACGCTAAATAAAGAAAATTGGTAGTTATATTGTGTTAGTTCATATGCCATATGAACTCGCCGCCTCTGGGGAGTTGGCTGTGAGAACTTGAATGCTCCATCTGACCTCCTTCCCAAAAGGGACAGTTTCTGAAGAATCTCAGAACTGGGTCATTGATATATGCAAATCATACTGGCCCATAGGACCAATCAGGCTCATCACTCCACCTCACCAAAACAATGGTTGCCCTACAAGCTTGCTATAGAGTGCCCAGTGCCATTTCCTCAAGTTGGGTTGGTAAAATGAGCATGGGCAGATGATTTGGAGTGAGGAAAATGTCAATATGTCATAGCTTTAGTTTTAGGTCTATTTTCCAATAGAGTTTATCGATTTTGTGAAATAACAAGCTGCCATTGCTTTTCGATATTGTGGAAGTGACACATAGCATATTCTTCAACTCTGAAAATCTCTACCTGTGTTTTTATATACATTTTTCACATTAATAGAGAAAATCACTACACAAACAATTTCAAGTGAATTACAGTCACCTGGAATTTGTTATCATTTCTTTTCATCTATAATCCAATACGGGCTCCTGCATATTTCAAAAATAGATTAATCGGTGACTTCCACAGAGAAAATAAGCACAGGAAAGAGAGAATGTGACTAAAAGTCATATTGATTGTATTAAATCAAGAGCACACAAAACTTGAAAGTAAAATGGAGAATTGTCATTTAGAGTAAGAAATAAAATCTTTTTTTTTTCTTTATGGTGTGTGTTTTGTGTGCATGCTGAGGAATGAACTTAAACTCAGGGGCACTTGACCACTGAGCCACATCCCCTGCCCTATTTTGTATTTTATTTAGGGACAGGGTCTCACTGATTTGCTTAGCACCTTGCTTTTGCAGAGACTGGCTTTAAATTCTCAATCCACCTGTTCAGCCTCCCTAATCCCTAGGATTACAGGTATTCGCAACTGTGCCTGGCAAAAGACATAATGTCTTGAATGTCTAAAATAAGAAGAAGCTGAACACTTTTGACTAGGGAACACTAATTTTTGCTTTAAAAGCATGGTAGTGCCACAACTACTAAAGAAAACATGATTTGGGGCATTTCTCAATTGGAAATACTAGTTCGATTCAGAGGTAGATGATAACTCAGGAGGCGTAGGAAGGGATAAAATGGAAAGACAGTTTCTTTATCCACTTTGACTCTGCAGGGTACAAGACCCACCCCTCTGGGCAAGATGGACCATCCCTGCTTTAGCTCCCCAAATTCAAAAAAAGAAAAGAGCCCCTGTCTGCAATTTCTTCTGCCTATAGACCCAGAGGGTCGCAGACATGACCCAGGCTCCCCCAGGAGCTGCATATTTAAACCCTGCAAATGGAAGTGTTAATCACCTAAACCTAGGCCCTGATGTGCTTAGGACAGTTCTGTTTGTACCCAGATAATCCCACTTCCACCTCCTCAGCCTCCTCCCAATAGATCTGGGGGGTAGGTAGCATTTTCATTTCTCTATACCCATTAATTCACTCAGTCATTCAATTCAGCAAATAGTTATTGACACCTACATTGTGCCTGGCACTGTGTTAGGCATTGAGGAAAGAGCAGAAAACAAATTTTCTCCTTGCATGGAATGCTTCGATAGTGGGTAAAATGAAACACAATCAAATAAACACACATATAACATGTCCAGTGAGAACAAATGCTATGAAGAACCATTACACAAAATAGGAAATTATAGAGACAGGGAGGGGCCCTCTATTTCCCATACATAAGGTAGTCAGAAGCCTCCCAGCAGAACCTGGGACCCACCTCCACACCACCTATGCCTCCCTGGGGCACCTGCTGCCACAGCAGCCAGCAACTCCAAGACTGTAACACAGGCCCCTGTAGTTTCACTGCCCAAGGCCCACCAGTTACAGGTCTAGAATGTCTGGGTCTTTTCTCCACTTTGAAAGAGTTGAAAGAAGAAACCATAGGACCTTGTTTCCTAGGTGGTTGCCAATGTGACTGAGTGATGCAAACCTGAATGCAAAGGATTTAATTCCCCACGAGTGGACTTTGACCAGAGAGACACCCAGTTGTGGACTACTCTACAGATAATTTCCTCTCCCTCTCTCCCTCTGATGCAGTCTCCAGCCCACAGATTCTCCACACAGCCTGTATGTGTGATCAAGCCTGGGTGCTGTTATGGGCTGTATGGTGAGCCCCAAAAAAACATGCTTTGAGGGCTGGGGTTGTGGCTCAGTGGTAAAGCACTTGCCTTGCACATGTGAGGCACTAGATTGGATCCTCAGCACCACATAAAAATAAATAAATAAAATAAAGGTATTGTGTCCATATACAATGAAAAATAAATATATATTTTTAAATGCTTTCAAGTTCTAACCCCCAGTACCTGTGAATGTGACTTTATTGGAATATACAGGGTCTTTGCAGGTGTAATCAAGTTAAGATAAGGTCATCAGGGAAGGCTGTAATCTAGTCTTTTGTCCTTATAAGAAAAAAATGACAGACAAGGAGCAGGTGGCCGTGTGACATGGAGGCAGAGGCTGGAGTGATGCAGAAGGACTGCTAATGACAGAGGACAGAGGCCAGGAAGGACTCTCCCCTGGAGGGTTCTGGCAGAACACGACCTAGCCACAGTTTGACCTTGGACTGCTCACCTCCAGAACTGTGACACAATAAATTACTATTGTTCTAAGTGACCCAGTTGATGGGACTTTATTACAGCAGCCCTAGGAAACTAACATACTAGTGACCAGCTGTGTGGATTTGTACCTCCTCCATAAAGCACGAACACACAGTCCTTGCCCTAGGCTATTTTCCAGATAACTATGACAACTAGAGACCTGGGTAGGTTGAAAGATGATATTTGAGCAGATACATGAGTACGGAGAGTACTGACAGGAAAGCATCCATGCAAAGGCCCTGGGGTGGAAGCCTACTTAGTGTTTTGAGGAGCTACTAAAGGGAAGAATGTAAGGAGATGAAGTCAGAGACAGCCACAGACATGATTACTCAGCCTAATAGGCCACAGAAAGGACTTTGGAAACAATTTATTGTGTTTTATTAGGTGTAAAATGAATATACACCTTAAAGCTATGTTTTTGTGACTTTTCTTTTAACATCTGCATAGCCCAGTGTGACTACCATCCACATATAATTACAGAACATTTCCATCTCCCCAGAGAATTTCCTCCTGCTACCTTCTAGTCAATACAACATACTGGAGCTAATTCCTACTCACTTTTATCATCAGAGTTGTTTCATCTGTTCTTGAATAGTGTATAAAGAGAACCATATAACATGTACTACTTTGACACAAAATAATCCTTTTGAGAGTCTTCCAAGATGGCATGTGTATTATGGACTAGTACTCCATTAACTGGATACATTACAATTTTTTATCCACCTTCCTACTGATGAATATTTGGGTTATTTGCAATTTTGGCCAATCATGAATGGAACTTCTGGGAACATTTATGTACTCTTCTTGGACATATGCAATCATTTCTCTTGGTATAAACCTGCCAGTATACTTTCTAGGTCAATAGCAATAATTTTGGGTTAACTTTAGTGATTTTTCAAAGTGGCTGCACCATTTTATTCTCTAGCCAGCAATGTATGAGAGATCTAATCACTCCACATCCTCACCAAAACTTGGAGTTGACAATCTTTTTAATTTTAGCCTTTCTGGTTGGTGTGTAGTGGTATCTCATTATGGTTTTAATGTGCATTTTCCTGATGACTAACGATGAACTGCTTTGCATATGCTCATGGACTACTCAGACTTCTTGTTTATGAAGTTCTTGTCCGTATTTTATATTTTTGTTATGGCCACATCCCACTTCCACAATCTGTATTAGTCATCTACTGCTATATAGCACATTGCTCTAAAACATGACAGCTCAAAGCAACTAACATTTATTATCTCACACTATTTCTGTGTGTCAGGAACCTGGGGGCAGTTCAGTTGGGTGTTTCTAGCTCAGGATCTCAGGTTGCAGTTGAGCTGTTGACTGGGGTTGGAGTTATATCAAGGCTGGACTGGGGCCAAAGACTCTACCTTTAGCTAAGCTCACTCACCTGAGTTTCATTGTGAGACATGTCTGACTTTCATTAGACTGACTTAATATTGAAAAGCTTAAAGACTCTCTACTACTCTCACTGACCTCTTAATATCCAGGTTCTCAGTGCAAAAAACCTCATCTAAAGGATGATGAAGAGAGACCCAAAGTCCCACAACTAGCTGGGGAGGCTTTGGAAGAGGGAAGTTATCCATCAAAAAATATTAAGACTCAAAGAAATAGAACTGTTTGAAATGGTTCACTTTCATTAAGTTCCCTCTCCTCCCTTAGCAGTTTCAAAAAACAAATCATGGTGGTATTTCAAGTCTACTAAAAATGGTCATTTGATCCAGAAACCTATTTATAGAAATTTATACCAAGATTAGAATCCACAATATAGAGAAAGTTTCAAAAAATATGCTCATTGAAACATTGCTAATTACAAATCTAACTTATGGAACCATTAGAGAAACTATATATCCCCTCATATGATGCCATGAATTCATCAAAAGTGGTCATTGTGATTGCTTGGGATGGAGTATTATAGGAAATTCTTAGGAGTGTCCACTATGAAGTAGTAAGGATAGATGAAAATGATCTCAATGTGATGTCACTTACATATGCACATAGGAAAAGACTAGAAAGGAAAAGTATAATTCCCATGTTAAAAATGATAGGATACTGGGTACCCTGATCTGATCATTAAACAAGCACTAATTAAAAGTAAAAATATATTTTAAAAAAAGAGAAATGACAGGTTAATGAGTAAATTCTCCCACCTACTTACCACATTTTTAATAATTATATTTTTACAACTAAAATTCTAAAAGTTACTAAGGGTCATATCTATCTTAAACATTTTATTTGATAAAATAAAAACAAAATACAAATTGTCTGTTTTGTCATTTTATTTATTTTTATCAACTCTTTATTTAAAAATATTCAAACTTATAGAAAATTTATAAGACTGGAATAGTAAGTGCTTATCTCCCCTTCACCTAGCTGCACCCACTCTTGCCATATTAGCTTTACCTCTCTGTATGAAACATCTGAGAAAAATGCAGACACTTTGACACCAAGGGCTTAAATCCTACAGCACCTGTGTTCAAAGAACAAGGACATCCTTCTACAGTTATCACACTTAAGAAATTTAACCTTGATAGGGTCCTATTTTGTAATATAAAATTTTATATTCAAATTTCTCCAATGGGCCTAAACATACCAATTTTGTTTTTGTGTGTTCTGTTTGATTCGAGAGGCACATTGCATTTAGTTGTGTTCTTTGGTCTCTTTTGATCTAAGGTAATTCACCATGTTAACAGTATTTTAGTATTTTTTTTAATCCTTTTGTGACGTTGATCCTTTTTTTAAAGACTCTAGATCAGCTGTGTTTTGTTTGTTTTTGTTTTTTCAGAATATCTATTAACTGAGATAAGTCTGTTTCTTCACAATTAGAAATGACCTGAATTTCTTGACTTAACTCATTGATTTTATTTTGCATTAAAATGGAATTACACTTTCCCATTTCCTACGAACATAGAAAATCTCTAATGCTTTTGTTAAAGAGGTTAGGCTGAGATTTTGTTTGCATATAGTACAAGTTGTACTCAGATGTGCGTGTCTGAACTGCAGCATTTTGTCATCTAAAAGAACAGTAAGTATGTGTAGCTAAAGAAACCCAAGAATATACGTAGTAAAAATGGGAGTTCATAACCCACTTGAATCAAATGTATGAAATATGATATGTCAAGAGCATTGTAATGTTTTGAACAACCAATAAAAAACAAAAAGAAACCCAAGAATTTGAGAGCCACTGTGAGTAAGCTCTAGTTTCCACAGCAGAGGAGGGGGTCTTCTTAACCACCTATATCAGGGGAATATTCTTTGTGTCTTTCTATTTTTCAAGCCAGTCTATAAGCCAGACAGAAAGTTAATTTGTTTTAGATTTAAAGGCACCAGGTCTCAATCCTAGAGAATAGAATAATCTGCTTATCCAGACTGCTTAGGTGGCAGCAGTGCAGGTTTCTTCAAAACTGTTTTAATAGAACTTTTGAGTCCTGAAACATACCTGATCTCTAAACTAAACAAGCAGAATTTAGGCAAAGGGAAATCTACATTTTTTTTCCATAAGCTTTTCAAGGCTTTTGAGAAATCACACCAATTTATATAAGTAAGAGCCATGGCAGGGATGTTGCCTTAATGATCAGAGCTTCTTACATGGGACTTACAAATCTGGGTTGTATTTTGAGGAACAGCCCACTGTGCACATCCAAAGGGTTGGCTTCAGTCCCAGGAATGACTTAAGTCTTTGAATGCATGCCATTGTTCTTACCTCACTTGCCCGTGACAGTTATTGCTAATTAATCACAATGTTCTTTTCTATTAGCCTCCACACTGCCTCAAATAATTTCCCAACACAGCACTACAAGCAGCACTAATAACTGAAGCCAATACATCAGATGAAGCCTCTATAACACTTAAAAAATGTTTTCCTGACTCTCAACTGAGTTTTAGTTTCTTATCTTCTCCAGCACATGAATGAATGGCAAGGGTTTAGAAGAGTATGTCTTATGAATGGCCTACAGATAACTGACAAGCCTGATAAAAATCTCCTATCAGAGCTTGTTGACAAGATGACGGGACAAGAGAAAGAAAGGAAAGGATATTAAGGTTGACTATTTGCTGTGACATTTTGATCTCAATAGGTAATAATAGCTAAAACATATCAAAAAGTTGATTTCTTATTCATGAAATAATCCAAGTTGGTTCCAGGTTGGGGAAGTAGGAGCGCATGAGCTCTGATGTACATGGCCATTAGGGACCCAGGCTGATGGAGCTTCTGCCATCTCACACATATGACTTGCCCCATCACAGTGGCTGTTTGCATCCATCTGGTGGCAGAAAGAGAGGCATGGAGGAGCATCACATGAGAGGCTTTTATGGGTCAAACTTGAAAGAGGATCACACAATTCTTCAATATTCTCTGTTCTAGACACGGTTAGATGGTAACATAAAGATTTTGGTCATTACCCAGCCATTTCTACCCAGAAAAGGACATTCCTATGACATCCCATGGCTTCTTATAGGACAGGGGAATGATGATAACACTTTCATTTACCTGATACTATGGTACTCATGATATTTGAGTGTTTTCATATTCCTAAATGTGAAGAGCAAATTTGTAAAATTTTAGTCTCTCAGGTGTTTTTTAAAGATACAACTGAAGTTCTGCTTCTATAAGGACTTGGTAGACAGGAACATGGCTCCTGACCTAGAAATAAGAAATACTACAGATAAAATACAAATCTTAATTGTTATTGAACCCACCAGATATCTGAGACCATAGAACAATCAGGTAACCAGAAATTCAAAGTCCCTCCAAGAATACAAGATGCCAACTGTGTCTCACCTTTGACTGAGCACAAGAAATAGCAATGCTAGTTATCATCAAATAAGTAAGAAGAATTCATCCAAAATGTCTAACAAATTGCAGAAATCTGACCTTGAGCTAACACGACAGTGATACATAACAGAGAGACATAAGCAGTGGGAACCTAAGATTAAGGGGATAATTCTATAGACTGGGCCTACTGGGCTGACACCTACACACTTTCTTTTTTAAAAGCAATTTACCTGTGGCCCTTTCCTGGCTTAAGTCAGTGGGATATGTTACATCCCTCAGCAAAAACCCTGTTCTCTGCAGGAGAAATGCAAGCTCAAAAACTCTTCTCTACTGATAAGAACAGAAGTTACCCTGGAGCGGGGACATTTGTGACCTTTATGCAGACCAGATTTCAGGACTCAAGGGGACAAGATAATTAGAAGCACAGCCCTTCAACTATAAAATCTGTAAAAACAAGTTCCAATTAGAACCAGTCTGCATGGGCCAAAGTGACCCAGAGTTGCCTTGGATCTCTAGCATGTCATTATAATAATAAAATATCCCCTCCCTGGGACAAGACCATGTGCATGGGTGACTTGAAAGTCCAGTGCAATCTTATTGTCAATTAAAAATCAAGAGGTGGATCTGAACAGGACTCTCTGGAAACTTTCCTGGGATCCCTAATAAAACTAGAGGGCAGGAGGGGTGTGCCATGCCTCTCGTCTCTGAAAGGAGCCATTCTCTTCCTCAAGAGTTTTATCTTTTTCCCTTTTCCTATCCTTTCTAATAAACCCATGCCAGCTATTCTGAGCAATTTATCTAAAATCTTTCTGGCATGATTGCAAAGAACTGGTGACAGAGGACATCCACAGAGCCAAAGAGAACTTGCTCTGCAACAACAGAATAAACGTGTCTGAGAGCCATCAAAACAAGGGACTTTGTACTTACTGTTCTTCTAGGCCTTGATTGCGTGCTCAAGGAAAAGATCAGGGTCATGGTAGGGGACCAGAAGCAATCTTCCTTTGTGGCGAAGGTATAGGAGAGGAATATAGCTGCTGTAGAAAAGTCACAAAGCCTCCATTTAGTTGCTTCCCTAAGGAAAATTCTTCAAATCACTTGGGTAGAGACAGAAAATCGGTTTCCCTAAGGCAAAGTGAAGAATCACTATAGTTGGAAAAGGGTAAAAGGAAAAATTTCCATCATTGTTGGGGGGCAGGGAAGAGTCCATCAGTATCTTCCCACTAAACATGTACAGGAAAGTCCCCTACAAGACCTGCCAAAGATACACGGTAGTTTGGCTGTCATGGGAAGGAGCAATCGGATCACTTAGGAACTCCACCCCTCAGATAAAGGAATAAAACTGACTGCAACCTTGAGTAACAAGCAATAGCAGTCCACTCCTCAAGGATGGGCAGTAATATAGAGAGAACCCTTCCTTCTGTTCTGTGGTACAGACACACAGAATGGGCCAAAGGCTGAGGGTTAAGTAGGAATATGGAGAAAGACTCTCTGGCACCCAAGACGCACCCTCAGGACAAGCTCATGCCACAGGAATTTGAAGCCAGTGGTTACTGAAGCTAACCCAGCAACAATAAAACCTACTTATCTTTTAGCTAGATTAACCCAACCCCCCACACAGCCTAACAGCAGGAGAGTTATGTTCATTTCCAAGTACAAACACTATATCTAAGTCTCTGTTGTCCTAAAACTAATGTCTGGTGCCCAGTTAAGTGGCCCACACCTGAAATCCCAGCAGTTCAGAGGGCTAAAGCAGGGAAATCAAAGTTCAAAGCCAGCCTCAGCAATTTAGTGAAGTCCTAAGCAACTTAGCAAGAAACCGTCTCAAAATAAAAAAGGGTTGGGGTTGTGGCTCAGTGATTAATCATCCCTGGGTGATTAATCAACATCTATGTAAACATTATCTGACTTTAGAAATATTAAGTAACCATATAAAAGATATAAACATCTTTTTATTTTTTAATTTTTTTGGTAATGGAGATTGAATCCAGGGCACTCTATGACTGAGTTATGTCCCCAGTCTTCTTCTTCTTCTTCTTCTTATTATTATTATTATTATTTTATTTTGAGATAGGGTCTATGTAAATTGCAGAGGATCTCCCTAAATTACTGAGGTTGGCCTCAAACCTGCAATCTTCCTGCTTCAGCCTCCCGAGACACTGGAATTACAGGTATGTGCCACCCTGCCCAGCTGACACATTATTCTTTTCTGTACTGGAGATTGAACCCAGGACCTTATACATGCTAGGCAAGTGCTATACCACTGATCTATATTTACAGTTTTGTTTTGTTTTTATTTGGTTTGTTTTTTTTATTTTGAGACAGGGTCTCACTAAGTTGTTGAGGCTGACCTCAAACTTGTGATCCTCCAACCTCAGTCTCCCAAGTAGCTGGGAATACAGGCTGGCACCGCTGGGCCTGTCATAACTAACATCTCTGTGTTTCACTTGCATCATATTTCCTTCCATTAGCACATAATTCTGTCACCAACTATCCTGTTACCTAAAAATTAAATATTGTCTTCTATTTAAAAATGTTTAAGCAGAATTTTTATGATTACAAAGTTTTCACTATTAAATATGAGTTTTTGAGCAAATTATAATCCATGTAATAAAGTCCTGGCTTCTTTCTCTTATGAACCATTTCAAAAACACATTAGCAGATTTTGTTGTGCCTTCCCCATGAAAAATGTAACAGTCCCTTCTTTAGGCTAGTAGCTCTCAACTTGATTGGAGCAACACCCTTCTTTTAAAACAATTGCTATATAATGGTTTTCCTATCTTGAAATGAAGTATCTTCCACCTTGCAGGATACCTAACACCCTTAGCTCCCACCCATAGAAGCCAATGAGCTCCATAATCTTTCTGAGAACCACAAAAATCCCCCTCACAAAGCTCTAGGTTGCCCCTAAGGTAGGAGGAAGGTGGAACCACCCCTTCAAGATCCACCAAGCTAGGACATGTTTCCTTAATGGCAACAAATGTTCTAGTTAAAAATGACCAACTTGGACTAAAGGACAATTATTTTGTTTTGTTTTAAATAATAGTTTCAATAGGAAGCACAGTAACTAAAAGTAGTTAATGGGTGATTTAGTGCTGTGCAGCCAATGACCCAAACACTTGCAGGTTTAAAACAACAAACTCTTATTATCTCAGTTTCTGAGCATAAGGAATCCGGGAGTAGTTTCTGGTGGGGTTCACAGATAGGGATCCCTGCATTGGTAAATAAAAATAAGTATGACAACTAATTTCAGGTTGTAATTGTATTGGATTATAAGAGATTGTTTCATAGAACTGAGAGGAATGGAAAATACTGTTGAAGTTTTGTTCCTACTAAATACAAACTTCCTTAGCAACATGACAATATTGTTTTATTTCCTGAAATGCAGAATCACAGTTTATCCAATCTCTATATTTACCTCTGTATTCTGGATTTGTTAAACAGCTACATGTGAATACACGTTATTATCATAGGTATAAGTAAATCTGAAAAACACAATTTTTGGACACCTATGTATGTGTTTATTTTAGCAATAAGAAAATTTATTATTTATTAAGTTGGAAGATGAGACCAACCTAATCAGATATTTTAGTGCTAAGCGTGTATTTTAGTTAAGCCTATAGAAAGGGTGTAGACTGAGAAAGATGAAGGTCAATATGTAGGGCAAGTAAATGTTTTTAAAAAATAAAGCCCTGATTTTTTCATATTCTGCTTCCCACCCCCATTGAGGGGCCAGTTCACATTTTATAACTTCTTTTTTTTTTCTCATGGAAATAAATGTTTATTCAAAAATGGAAAGGTACTGAAGGCACTGGATAGTTTTCCATTGAGCTGTTTGTGCCCCACTCCACAGGTTGAGGAGCCAGTCAGCACAGTCACCTGAGCAAGGCAGTTGTTACACAATGATTCAAGCCTGAGTGACAGTCTCTTATAGAACAGCTGGTTAAACTTCCTAGGCAGACTTCATATCCCTGGGTTTCTAAAAGATTGGCAGCAACTTAAAACACTGTGGGTCTCAGAGGTCTCTATTGTGGTCTTCTAATTGGGGTGACTGGGGAGTTCTCTAAAGGGTGTGCAATCTTGGGTGGTTTTAAGGGAGCTCATCTTCCAGGTCCTCAACTCCTGTATATACTCCTGCCTAAACCTGATCTGCCCGAGACCACGTGTTTCATAAAGGTGCTATGCCCAGTCACTTTTCCCTGACCTCACAAAATAAGAGCAATCCTCTCGACCACAGGGACTCCTGCCCTGGGTCTCAGTGCCTATGGTGAGGCTGCCTCCATCAAATACTGGCCTGGGGCTCAGGTGAGCAATTCAAGAAAGAAGAAGTAAAAATGGCCACAGTCATTCCTACTGATCAACATTACTTTTTTTTTCTTTCTGTTTTTGGTACTGTTATTACATTTTTAAGTGTCAGGACTACACACTGGAAGTGAGTTCATGTTTTATTCTTTCCTGTATATCCAGTCAGACTCAAAAGGAAAATTTATAATTAACTCTTTCATAAAGGTAATGGGTTACAGGGGTTGGGGAGGTCGCTGAGAGGTTTGATTCCCAACATTGCACACACACAACAACAGAGTGGGTAATTAGTTATATAAAATCTATATTCATTGTTCATTTGGATGTATTTACTGCTACCTCTTATTGCTCAAACACTTTGGTATCAGTTCATTCTATCCTACAATGTACTTATTTAGATGTTTATTGGCTTAATGAGAATGGATTGTGGAATCTACTAGAAATAATCATTAATACAATTTTTATAAGCCATGTGTGTGAAAATAATCAATAATTTTGTTTTTGTTGCCAATGCAGAATTCATTTACATCCTAGCAATAAATAATATGTATGCATGTATTGATTTTGAACTAAAAAAAACTCCATTCATCTCCTTAACAGATACAGTTCCAGTAAACTTTTACTTATATTTAATAATTATCAAATTTAATAATGTATTTATTTTATGTCCAATTGTATTATAAGAAGGTGATAACCCAATCCAGATGAAAACTTCACCCTTCTGTTTTATGAATATAAAAAGCTTTATAAATATAGGAAATATCTGAAACATATATTTTGAATTTCAACATATATATTTTTGTAGGAGAAAAGTATGATACAGCCATTACTATTTTTAAACTTTCAAATATAAAGAATAAATTCGGTGGATAAAGTAAAATGAAAATTTGGCTTCAAGAGAAAACATAAAACTTTTTTACAAAAGTAGCTAATGTTAGAAAAGAGGTTTTTCATGTATTTTTTAAATTAATAACAGTCCATATTAAATGTTTTGGTATTTAGATTGTATTGTATACATTGAAAAGAGTGTTAATAGGTTTTTGTTAAAAGTGTCAATACCTACAATATGATTATATGCTTTGTTGCTATTTAAATATATGAGGAAAATTATTCAAATGTTAACACAAAGATGTGTGAAAGCATATTGCTCTTCAAAACTATTCTAGGGAGTATGCAAGCAAAAGAAAAAAATTATCACTATAATGAAGTAAAATAAATCAGTGGTCCTAGAGTTCTGTTTCCAGACCTGGTATTAAAGTAGTCATTTCTTTCAGTTTTCTGTCTTCATTTTTCCAAATATAAATGAGCATAATAATAACTTTCCTTGTAGTCAGCAGTGTCTATAGAATTCATATAAGAAAAAAATCTATTTAATAGCATGCCAAATTGTATATTAAGTTACATGTGAACTAACAATATGGGTTGGAAATAAAAACACTCATTTATCTTGTTCTTTTTATACTTGTCAGAATTTATTACAGAAACTTGAAAATCTATGGGTTCGAACAGAACAGATAATTTAGAATTTCAGAGGTTTAAGGGATTGGTTCTGACTTTATGTTCTAAACCTATAATCTTTACTGTCTCAAAATGACTACTTACTTCACATAAATACGTATAAATATGTTGATCTGTTTTACATAACTAAATGTAAATATATTTACATGATATAAATCTACATATTCAACAAAAAATATATGAGATAGGCAGATGAAAGAATTTTAGAAGTCCATAT